TTGAATAAGAAGAATGAAAGGTATGAGTGGAGATTTGACATCTGATTTTAGTTTGAGAGTGTGAATCCAAGTGAACCTGCTAAAGTCATCTACTATGGTTAAAAAATATCTATAACCATCGATAGATGTGGTTGTTAATGGACCCCAGATATCCACATGGATTCTTTGAAAAAAATGTGTAGAAGTGGTACGGCTAACAGGATATGGAATTCTCTTTTGACGTGAGAAATGACAAATGTCACAATTATGAAAAGAAGTGAAAGGAATGTCATTGTATTGATGTGATAATTCTTTTAGAACAATATTTGATACATGTCCAAGTCTCAAATGCCAAGCTAGAGATGAACAATCAGGAACTGTGTGTCCTGTTGTAGTTTTATTGATTACATTGGGAATAACAGCATAAACATTACAAGAAGAAAAAGCTACATTATTTTTGGAATGCAAACAGTATAGTCCTTGAAACTTGTTAGCTAGTCCAATCATCTTCAAAGATGTTTTCAGCAAAATGAAACAATGAAGTTCTGAGAAAAGAACAACATATGAACCAGAAGAAACTAGTTTTGGAATAGAAACAAGATGAGACTCAAATTGAGGAACATATAGGACATGTTGAAGGGTTAATTGTCCTATAATAACGGTGCCTGAGTGTTGAGCTGTGACAGATGAACCATTAAGCAGTTTTATATGAATAGAGGGAATAGGGTTCAAAAAAGAGAAGAGAGTTTTGGATGGACATATGTGGTCAGTAGCACCACTATCCATGATCCAAGAGTAAAGGTGAGATGGTTTACCAGGAAGTACCAAAGAATTGGTGTGAACTTGGTTGACAGAATGTGAAACAGGTTGAGAATTTATTTGAGAGTGTTGAAAGAGTGCCATAAGTCCTTGAATTTGCTCCTGAGATAAAGTAAACTGATCTGAAGCTAGTGTACCTGCAGAATTTGACAACTGAGAGTTTGCATTAGGATCAATGGTAGCCATATTAGCAGATGAAGAAGCAGAAATGCTGTTGTTTTTAGATTTATAGCTTGGAGGATAGCCATATATCTGAAAGCATGTATCCTTTGTGTGATTTGTTCTTCCACATTGTTCACAATAACGGTTCCCTCTGCCTCTTCCACCGGAAGGAGTCCTACCACCACCACGGTTATTCTGAAAATTGCCTCTAATATTAGAGGAACCTCTAGCATATTGAGTATTTTGGGATGGAACTTGAGTTACAACATTGCATGAAGGTGTGTTGAAAATATTCTGAGAAGTAATGGATCCAAATTCCCTTTCATGTTGTAGAATTAGAGAAAAAACTTTGCTTAAAGGAGGCATAGGAGCAATTATCATGATCTGTGATCTGGTGTGAGCAAAATCTTCATTCAAGCCTCTAAGAAATTTGATTGTACATTCATCTTCTCGTTCTTTAATAATTTTCTCCAAAATTCCACAAGAGCAAGTGGGAGAACATTTACAGATTAAAACAGTGCGGTATTGTTCTAATTCTTTCCATAAAGTCTGGAGTTTAGTGAAATATTGAGTTACCGAAAGAGATCCTTGACGCACCTGTTGAATCTCCTCAGTTAGGTCAGCAATACGAAACATGTTGCCATGTGAAAATCGAGCAGAAAGATCCTTCCAAATTGCAGTTGCTGTGTCAAAGTATACAACTGATTCTGCAATCTGAGAAGTCATAAATCTCATGAGCCATGCCATAACCATCCGGTTGCACCTTCACCATGGCTCGTAGAGAGGATCGCTGATGGATGGTGAAGGAAATGAGCCATCAACAAATTTGTGTTTGTTTTTGGATTCCAGCATTGCGAGCATTTGATGTTTCCATGAATGATAGTTCTTCTCGGTAAGAAGAGTTGAAACAAGAACCAGAGTTGGATTCTCATTTGGATGTAGATACAGCGGATTCGATGGATTAACAAGATGATCCGGAGTGGATTCGAGACCATCAGAGGAAGATCGAGTAGTAACCATGGTGAAATGAGATCAGGAAACTTCAGAAAGGATGATTAACATCTGATACCATATTAGCAGAGATAAGCGGAAGAAGATGGAAAGAGAAGAAAATGATCTCATCATTGTATAAAGTTTGAACAACAAGTATTTATAGTACAAGGATAGTACACTATCTATCTAACTGTCTAACAATATCTGAACAAACTAAGAGAAAGGCTGTGCTATTGTATATGCATCTTCACATAAGCTACTCCTGTGACTGCACAAATTGCTGCTTTAGTTTATAGAATCTCTAATGTTTGGCTCAATTCAACAAGTCCAAAAGCCTTGTCGTAGTTTAAAAACCGAAGTACAAGACATTCAAGTGAAATGTTCACTTGCCGCCGTGCTGAACATGATAGAGCTAAAATAGATAAAATCATTTATGATACTCCCTATTATTTTACTTATAGTTTATAATTATGCTCATTAGCAAATACTATAATATAATAGATTTAAAAGAAAATTATGCTCTTTTTTTCATTCGAAGTATCTAAATGGGTCATCTACAAAATTGTTTGGAAAACAAATTATACCTCTAGATAGAGACTTCAAAGAAGAATGAACACGCATTTTGCAAAGTAAGGACAATTTTCTGGTAAGTCAGAGCATATATTTTTTGGAAAGAGAACATAAATATTAGAGAGAATTTGAGTTTGTACTTCATATTTTGTGTGATTTTTGACTTTACATTTTTTTTTTAAATTATTAATGTTTGCAATTTAATTCACTATAGAATCATTTGAGTTTGCACTACATTCCTTCATAATTTTTGAGTTGATGGGATGCAAAATACAATATGACCTATAATATGTAGTGCGAAGTCAAATTCCCCCCAAATATAAATTAATCTTTTGTTTAATCATTTTAATTTTTTATGGTAATTTATATCCAACCTCTTCTCCAAGCCCCTTCCACACCTACCTAGACGCTGCCGGATCCACCGTTGAAAACCGTCATAAAAAAACTTGATGATTATTTTCTTTGTTTTTTGATTTTTTCAAAAGTTGCCGGCAATTACAATGACACGTTTCGTGACGGTGATGACATTTATAAATGACATGAAAATATAACAGTGACATTTGTGAATCGTTTTTCTTTTAAAAAATAACGGTGACATTTGTTAGTGATATGAAAATTTAGCATTGTCATCATATTTTCAAAATATATGAAATCATATTTCTATTCATATCTAAATCTAGTCATTTATGGTAGGTAGTACTACCTCCGCTTCAAATTGTTTTACAAAGTCTACATGTTTTTGTCAATCAATATTAAAGTTATACGAAACACATATAGCGGAAGCAATACACGAACAAATCAAATGAATTGTTCTAATAATTCCAAGACCTTCATCATGTTGAATAGTAGAGTATAATAATAATAATAATATACTACCTTGTTCCATAGTCAAGAATGCATGAAGAATGGAACGAGGCAGATGACGTTTGGATCTTCCTCAATCGAACCATCTTGAAGCCTTAGTCTCTCTTCCGATGGGGAGAAGAGAAGGTGAATAGTGGTTCAATATATTGGGGACTATAGCCTTTATATAGAGTGTGTTGGTCTAGCTAGAGCTCCCATTAAACCTTAACGAGCAACACGAGCCTCTGCCCATTTATTTGGCTCATACAATTTATCTTAATAGTCTAATGGGTTTAGATAATATTGACCACATAAAACCCAATTATAATAAATAGCTAATACAATAATTATATTATTCTCTTATATTAATTATTGGAATACAATATTCCAACAAAAGTTAAATAATTCATGTTGATAATTAATTCAATTTTAATGATTAAAACTTACTTATCTAAAAACTACATTAAAATCTCTATAAAATTGTAAAATTCAAATTAAAATATAATTAAGAATTAAAATTCTAATTAAGTTGATTGAAATGAGTCTATTTGATCCAATAAATCAAATTTGCAATTCAATATGGGATGAAGGAACTAGGGGTGGGCATGGTCCGGGACGGAACGAGAATGAAATTGTCCCAGTACCAAACCCGTTTTATAATAACGGTTCGGAACGGGATGGACAAGATGCTGTCCTTTTATTGTCCCATTTAAATCGGTACCGGAACAAAATGGGATGACTCAGGACATCCCAAAAAATGTAGTGAAAAAATTGCAATCCCAAAAACAAAGCAAAGTTGTTTCAATTTTTTTTTGAAAACTAGCGCAAGAAACTCTATGACAAAAAGCACTATAGCTAATCTATAAAATTGTGAGAAAAAATACAACTTACCATATTAGCTGCATGAAACAAAAGTTCCAAAAAAAAACTCTAATACAAAAACTTATCAAGAAATCTGTAAAAGAATGATAAAAGAATACTATGCGAAGTGAAGCCTTTCAGAGTAAAAATTAATTTTTTTTTTTTGTAGATAGATGATAGTTCATAGTATGTGATACTAGGTAATTTGGAGTTTTTTAGGTGTTTTAATTTATTATTAAAAAACTTGTATTTTAATAATCATTTTGTATATTAGTTGTGAAGAAAAGATAATTATTATTATTTGGATTACAAATGAGGTGTTAGTAGACTCACTAACCTACTACAAAGTACAATTTTTGATTCGGGACAACAAGACATAACGAGATATATTTTACATGTCCCGGTCATGTTTTATTTTGAAACGGTTCGTGACCTGTACAAGACAAAAATAATGTGTTCAAATATAACGGGACAATTTCGAAACGAAGCCGGAACATTCTGGAACAGACCAGCAGGACCGGATCTTTTGGCCACCCTAAGAAGGAAGTACCATTTTATTCAAAATCAATAATTATGCTCTCTCATTTTATTCGAAATATCTAAATGCATCATTTACAAAATCGTTTGGAAAGCAAATTCCACCTCTGGAAAGAGACTAGAAAGAAATATGAAGACGCATCTTGCAAAGTACGGACAACTTTCTGGTAGGCCAGGGCACGTTCGGTTGGCCCGTTCTCTTTTGCTCCTCCCTCCTTCTCCCTTCCACGTCCACTGCCCTAATTCAAAATCAGATTCTTCCTCTCAAATTATTTTTATTATTATTACAACTTCCATGAAAAGGAAATTCCCAGCCTCATCGCATTTAACGGGTGGGTTGTTTTCAATGGATCAATCCAAACGAAAATCGGAGGAGGAGAACGCTAACGTTATCTTCACCGCCTTCTCCGTTTTGCCCGGTTCCCACTCCCAGCCAAATTCTACCCATACGCCCACCATTTTTTGTTTCATTCCCTTTTCTCTTTGTTCTATTATCTCCAATAAAATAATAATTTTCGCAATATCTTGTTTTTGTATTTTCATCTGATAAAAATTTCAACTTTTTTTTAATTGTGTCTCTGGGCGATCTGTCTTATTTATTGGGGAGTATTTATTTATGGTCCTTCTTCTGCATCGTCTTCATCACCAGCTAACGCATGTTGGTCGTATTGTCTCCACAACTACTGGTGGGTCAAATTGGAATTTCCTACTCATGATCAGTCTCTTTGCTGGCCCCGGTTGGTGGGTTGACTACTTCTATTGTTATACTCGGTGAAAAAGAAAAACCCATTAAATCTTGTGGGGTTTTGCGGCCGTTGGAAATGTCTCAGAAGCGGCAACCCGAGGAGGCACACAAGCCTTCGCCGGACGGAGAGTATCCCGACGACAAACGACGCCGGAAGATTCCTTCCCTCAAAAGGTTACAGCTCCCTCATCTCCTGATTTGAAAAGTTTTTATCTTGGGGATTCCACCCATTAAGTAACTAAGTAGGTAGGTGGGATTTATAAGAATGATTATTCCCCAGAAATTTCGTTGAACCCATTTTGAGATTCTTGATTTATTGTGACAGTTAGGAAGTTTATTGCAAACAAAACTGGTATAAGTCGGTTGCCTTTGGATTCGTTGAATGGATTTTTCATGGCTTTTTAATATTTAGAGTAATAAAGAGATGAGAATAATGACAAATACCAGTGAGCGTGCCAGCATCAGTTTTTATTCATTAGTAAATGGATTTTGGTGTCAAAAGGTTCTTTTTTAAAACTAAGTTTTTCCACACTTCCACAGTCTGCTTTTGTTGAAAGAACATATATATAGAGAATAAACACAGTAGAACAAGGGGCCTACGCAATCTCTTTATTACTGTTATAGGATTCATCTAATTTACCATCATTAATACCACCTTAAATCACATTAGTTAAATTTTCTCTGTGAAATTATTATTTACTAATTATGTTTTACATTTCTACAGTGTGGTATTGGAGGTTATGAATATGCAAAAAATGCAGACCTTTATGGAGCCGGTTTTGGAGCCTCTAATTCGCAGAGTTGTAAGTGCACGCCTCTTGAGTTGTTTTAGTCCTTTCACAACCAAGTATAATTTGTTTTCCATGTATTGTTATGCTTAATAAATTTTTTATTGTTGACTTTCAACATTCTCATGCATTCATAAGATTTGGGCAGTTTGTTTTGTGTTCCTAGTTGCCCCACAAATTAAATCCATTTGGCATGTTAAATTCCATTTGGCTTGTGATGCTAATGAAATATTGGTTACTGTGTTTGTTCATGGGAGATTACAGGTAAAAGAGGAAGTCGACTGCGCATTAAGAAAATACATCACCAGTTTGAAAGGGTATGGAACACTCGATGTTCAATAAATACAGTTAACTGTTCATGAAGCATCAAACATATGTGATTTGCCTGCTTTAGTTTCGCTATTGTGAATTTGTGATAGGAATGGAGGCAGAGAAGAAAACCCTTACGAGTTGAGAAGCCTCAAGTTGAAGTTCGTAGATTCTATCTCTCCTCCTGTGTTTACTGGAACTCGCATCGAAGGAGAGGATTGCTCAGGTTTTAGAGTTTCTTTAGTTGATGGTCTTACTGGACAGGTTGTGACAACAGGCCCAGAATCATCCGCTAAGGTTGAATTGGTGGTTCTTGAAGGAGATTTTGACAATGATGAAGGGAATAGCTGGACTGCTGAGGAATTTAGAGATAACATTGTTAGAGCGAGGGAAGGGAAAAAACCTCTTCTTAACGGGGATGTGTTTCTGAATCTTAAAGAGGGTGTTGGTTTTGTTGGTGATATTTCTTTCACAGATAATTCTAGCTGGACTAGAAGCCGTAAGTTCAGACTGGGGGCTAGATTTTTTGACAGTTTTGATGGAATTAAGATTTTGGAGGCAAAAACAGAGTCTTTCATTGTTAGGGACCATCGCGGAGAGTGTAAGTTCATAATTTTTGTAGGACATAAGACATGGCAAGTGGCAACAAATAAGAGCATCCTTGTTCTTTTCAAAAAAAATAAGACTGATTCGGTCCTTATAAAAGCAAAAAATTAGCAAAAACTTCTTTGAAGTTTTAGAGAGTCTTGTTTTCCGGAAAAAAAACAATGATTATGAGAAAATGTGATATGGTTTAGAAGTACCAGTTGCCATCTCTCTTTGGAATGTATTGTGATAAATTATTGACTAAATAAATTAAATTATAGCATCACTTTTTCCCCATGTTTATTTGCAGTGTACAAGAAGCACCACCCACCATCTCTCTTGGATGAAGTATGGAGGCTTGAAAAAATTGGTAAAGATGGAGCATTCCACAGGCGTTTGAGAAAGGAAAAAGTATACACTGTAAAAGATTTTCTGACCTTACTATCAATTGACTCGGCAAGACTTCGAAGTGTAAGCAACAGTCTAGTTAAAAAGGAAAATACGATGATGAAATGAATTTTGTTGTTGTATGTATGAGACCTTGTGTGGAAATGTTGCAGATCCTTGGGACAGGAATGTCCACTAAGATGTGGGAAGTCACAGTTGAACACGCCAGAACATGTGTGCTTGGGAATAAACTGTACTCATACTACCCTTCTGGAACAGAGCAAAAGAACGGCGTTGTTTTCAACATTGTGGCACAAGTGATGGGTCTCTTTGTAGACTCTCAGTATGTTCCTGCTGACAAGCTATCTGAGACCGATCAGGCAAGCTTGCTTCTAATGGTCTACAATTACAAGGAGCTACGTTTAGCAGATTTTGCATTATGGGACAAAATGTTATTCTAGGGATGCAATAAATTGTTAGGCTTAAGTATGGGGTTATCTTTGTGAATATAGTGTTTATCGTTTTAGCTCCTCCAATTTTTTTTTCATTCCAACAATTTATGTTTATGTGATTAAGTTCCTTCTTCAACCTCCAAAAACCTCTGTTTCACAAAAATGACGGCTTGATTTCAATCGTATTTTCCCAAAGATACAATTTTTAAATGGTGCATGCTATTTTGGTTTGCAGAGAGCCATAGAAACCTACTTATTCTGCTAACATGAATGATCAGCTTCTTTTAACCTTTACTCTGCCTTTAATCTCTAAAAAGTTATAAATATTGGATGTTGAAAGTTTAGCATGGAGTTATGGAGTTCTGCATAAAGGAACTTCAAAGTAAAATCACAAGGATGAAAAAATGGGATCTAAAACAAAACATGGTATATTTGCAGGGGTTAAAGCCTTTTTGTTGTCAAAGTTCTGGATTACATCTTTCTACGCACATCCCTTTTTGTACAGAATTCTGGGTTTCATCTTTCTCTATTCATCCCTTTTTGTTCATTCCAGGCCGAGGCACATGAGTTAGTGATATCTGCACTTGGAAACTGGGGAGAAGTGGTCTGTTTTGACAATGAGTCGTTGGAGTTTCCACATATCCAATCTTCAAACTCATCATTTGGCATGGGTAATAACACTGAAGGTGGTGAGGCTCCAACATCACAAAAGGTTACAGGATACGATTATCTACCATCAAGTGCATCACCTGAAAACATGCCATCAACATTTTCATTTGGCGGTTTGAGTGGATTGGATCCTTATGATTTGCAATGTATTGACAGTTTGGATGTTAGTTTTGACCAACCGCTCCAAGAAACTGATTCCTTTATGGATGGCTGTAGAGGTTCTGCAAGTCAACCATTTGTAGGGGAGGATGAGACTATATCCTACTTTGACCCAGATTATTCACTTCACAGTAACTTTGAACAAGCGGATTGTTATTTACAGGGTACAGTGGTGAATAGCTTTCTCGGCAGTACAGCAGTTACACCAGACAAGGCACAGATGAGATGGACAATGTTGTTCAGTGTATTAAGGTGGTTCTCGGTTCGGAGGATTGTTGCTAGAAAGGGTCGCAAAGACTACTAATTTACCACTGGTCCCACTCATCCTCGATCAGTGTACAGAGAAGCCTTACTCACTGGAGCTTGTTTTTTGAGGCACTCCTAGAAGACTAGAATATACTTCGAAGACTCTTTAGTACTCATTTGGTTCTCTTCTAATAGCACTTTTATAATAGCATGCGGAGTGTTAATGTGGGCTTTCACAGAGTATGTCCCTTATCAATGTGTCCTCGTCCTTCCTTCTTGAGCTTGTTTTTTGTCACCGTCGTCATCATCATCGTTATTGCTGTTTGTTTTACTATTACTATTATCGGTATAGTTGTTATTGTTATAATAAGCATTAATATTTCTACTTATGTTGCAGTTAACTAGGTTTGTATATATCAATATATCATCAACAAACATTGATTGAGAGCCAAATTTATTTGGATTTTAGCAAGATGTCATGTTGTTGCTGTTCAAACTTTCTTGCCGTGTATAAAAGTTTCCTGTTATGAGACAGCCCATTGACGCTCACGTGCCCGCTCGTAAATTGTAGTGTGTATCGGCTAACTTATGAGTAAAAGAATAAGAAACTGAAATTGACACTGAAATCAACTGAGGGTGGAAAGTTGGAAACAGTCTGGCCTCCCAATGAAGAGAACCTTATTTGCAGTAGATTACAACTTACAAGTCGATGGATTCCAGGTTGGTTATAACTTGCAGCTGTGTATATGCTTCGATTTGGACTGTAAATCAGACAGCTAAAATTTTAAAACCTTCTCTAAGGAATTGGATGAGAACTGGGCGTGGTTTTTATCGAATGAAAAATCAACTGTTTCCTATCAGTGTCCGAGATGCTGTCCGCCCCTGGGATGATCCGAATCATGTTATTGGACATAAAGAAGCATTGTGTTCATGTTTATCAATGAAGAAACACCATCGGGTGAAGGATTTTTCTTTGTGCATGATCCATCAACTGCAACACCCTTTCACTCACAAATACCACGTCTCAAATAAGATTGTTTTTTCTCAATTAATACTCCGTACTATTTTAGATAAAATAGTTGTTTTACTTGTGAGTTGTGACTGATATATAAAGTGCTTTAGAGAGTAGATTTAGGAAACAATGTTCTTTTTCCTTCTTAAAATCTCTAACCAGTGGTAATCGCTAAAATGTGCTTTTTAACCCCTTTTACGCTTTTAGCCTTGTTTTATACTTCGATGATATGCCAAACACTTTGTAATTGTGCGTATATTGTGCACTGTTCATGCCAAGAAAAATAGAAGAGGAAAAAACTCGATATAGTCGATAAGGTCCACTGCTTAGTGTATCATTTACCTAAGTCCTTCACGGCTCATTTTTTCATTTGTTGTCTTGCTCACACCTCAATGTTCGATTGAATGGGCTTCATTTCATAAGCCTTTTGCAGTAAAAAAACAAATTTGCTGTTTTTACACCACATATTGTACACGCCGTGTGTAAAGGCCCGGTTTTCTGTTTGTAAATAGACAATTTGTTTTATCAATGTCATAGAAAAGAACAGATAAATACGGGCATGTACACACACCGGCATGTACAAGAAGCAAAATCCTTAAAAAATGACCCTTCTAGAACGCTTTTGTCATCTCCAAACTGAGAGTTAAAAGGGTAGATCAAGTTTTGAGGTATTGTGGAACCATAGAAAATTGATACATATCTAATAATCTGATATGAGCTCCATCAGTTAGGCTACAGCCCTTTCTTTTAAGGGGTGGAGAGATTTAATGGTACAGCCCTTTCTTTTAAGGGGTGGAGAGATTTAATGGTACAGTAAAAATATTCGAGGATATGATACAAATGAAAGAAAGGTAGTACATAAAAATGAGCAGTCATTAAAAATCTATGAGCTTCCTGCTGCCTCTGAGATGCTCACTAGTGAGGGTTGCCATCTGCCAGATGAGTACCTATGCTTTTCATCTTTTACCTGCCCCAATCAATTCAATCCATGTGAAATTGTGAATCAATTCATCTTGGGAAAACAGTCAAATAGGTCCTCGAACTTTCATAAAAAGATCAATTAAGTCCTTCTATAGGAGGTTTTGTCTGGCCGTCGCGATTTGGGGCAGTTCCCGGTGGAAGTTTTTGATGAAATTTTTTGAGCATCTTATTCACCAAGTCTAGTTTACTCATACCAAATTTCAGCTAAAAATTCAATCGGGAACACATTCAAATTAATTCTTGAAGATAACTGCGCATTTTTGCGTTCTCGAATTAATTTGAATGCGCTCCCGATTGAATTTTTAGCTGAAATTTGGTATGAGTAAACTAGACTTGATGAATAAGATGCTCAGAAAATTTCATCAAAAAAATCCACCGGGAACCGCCCCAAATCGTGACGACCGGACAGAGTCTCCTATAGAAGGACTTAATTGACTTTTTTATGAAAGTTCGAGGACCTATTTGACAGTTTTCCCATTCATCTTTTGTAACGCATAAGCAATAAGGAGTACTCCGTATATTTTAGAGAACTTCTTGTTGAACACACTTTTATACTCACCATGTTTGTGAAGAGTGTTTTTTTGTCTGTGAATCCGATTCACAGATAAAATAATTTGCACACATATATTTTGTCTGTGACCGGGATTCACAGACAAAAAAAAAAACTCTGCACAAACATGATGGGTATAAAAGTGGGTACAAACATTTTTTTTGTATATTTTAGCTCGTTAGTTTTACTAGTCCTTTTTTAGAGCAAACGTTCAATTTCATTTATTCCACAATACTCGTATAAATTAAGTAATTATTAAAATAAGTAAAGACAAAATTATTATCCTGGATACACTTTATTACTTGAAATAGATTATTATCAAATGGTATGAAGTAGAAAATGAAAAAGAATACAAATATGGAGTAGACAATACAAGAGGAAGTAGACAAAATAGGAGTGAAAAGTTAAAACAAACGGAAAAGACCATAGGGTATGGAAATGGGTCAATCTTCACATCTTTCAACAAAGGAATGTACGAAGAAAAAAAACTACTACCTCCGGCCCTGATTGTTCTTCCAAATTAAAGTGGCACGGTGATTAAGAAAGTAGAAATTGTGTGGTGAAGAGTTGTGCAAAGGAGAGAGAAATGCTGTGAAACACAAATTCTTTGCCAAAAAGGGAAAGTGAAGTTCTTTTTGGGACGAACGAAAAAGGGAAAGTTGGAAGTAAATTTAGGGACGGAGGGAGTACATATTTCAATTACCTCTTACCACTCATTTATATTGAGACGGAAGATGGTAGCACGATTATTAAGAAAAGTGGGTTTGTGTGGTTGATATTAATTGATAAAGTAAGAATGATTTAGAACCACACAAACTTTGCCAAATATGGTATGAGACAATTTAAGTGGGATTTTCCGAAAAGATAAAACGAGACAATATAAATGGGATGGAAGGAGTACTTTATTATTCTACCAAAAAACAAACCCTCAAAAGACAAGTATTTTAAACGGAGTATAATTTAGCTGTTTTAGCCTAATTACCTTCCAACTTTTATACTATTTGAAATCTTTTTTTTTTGCATCAGACTATTTGAAATCTTTAAAATCTAACAAAAGATCTTTTGTAGAGGTCGATAAAAACAAGATCTTTTGTAGAGACTATAGATGTTTTCTTTTGGACTGAAATTTGCTGGTCTGGGCTGGTAAATGTCTGGCCTCTGTGTATTTTATAACTACGGAAGTCAAGTCTGGTCTAATCTGGTCTGGGACTGAAAACAGAAATCATCCTACGTTGGATTGCTTTTGAAAAAAGTTCATTTACATTGACTAAACACAACACCTTATTAATTTGAAACAAAACTAAAAGCCGGTTAAGTAATATCAAAATTGTCTAAATCGGCTGATTCTGCTGAAATTTATGAAGTTCAGGCTGAAGTGGTTAAATTGACTGATTTTGCAGATCTATTAAAAAATTATATTTAAAATATATTTTATTAATAAAATTAAATAAAAAATATATTAAAAAGTAGCTAAAATGGTCGTCTACATTAACTCCACTCAATACAGTCAGAAAAGCAACTCCGGCCTTACTTATTCTTATTATTATGATATTCTGCGAGCGAAATAAAAAATTATATCTTTGATAAAAAAAAAGTTGGCTGATAAGCCGAAGAAATAGACAACGAAATAAAACATGCTCTAAATTAAACAATCATGTTTTCTTAAAATCTTGTAAAATTTGACTAACATAAAAGAATAATAAAATAAAAACTGTGTAGTTAAGCTTTATGCAGAGAAACAATAAGAATTATAATTTCATTTATGAAAATCGAAAGTGACCAAGTTTTTTGGAACGTTTTAATAAGCAAAAATGTCAAACTTATAAGTGACGGAATATATCTTGAACTAGCTATCCTGAACAGACATTGTTAAATAAACTTCCTTCATACTTTCATCAAATTCAATTAGTCCAACTATTTTATCTACCAACAAAATAGTTACTCCGTATATACCTGCTGGTTCTTATGCACTAATCCGCTGTTTGAATTTGAAGTAGTTGATTTTTCTTTGAACTTATTAGAGCATGACCGCTGCTGACTCATCATCATCATCTTTGACCCACTCTTCATCCGTAAGCCTTTCGCTATATCTGATCAATCAATCCAAACATAACAATTACTAAAAATTAGCGAATTCTAAAACAAATTAAAGACAAAAATGAATCCAGCTGCTAATTAATACGGACTAATCGTACAATAATATGGAAAAGTTAGTATTACGTATATACGGATTACGGAGTATATTAATTAACCTTGAGCAGTCATTAGTCTATAAACGTGTCCAAGGAGAAGCGTGTCGGTTGGTTTGAGGAGCTTTATGCGCGTGACACGGACCGGTACGACGTTGTTCTTGTTGTCGGCGCCGTTAAAGGCGGCGGCGGTGGTGGTGGTGAGGAGGAGGGCGACGTAGTGGCCGGGATGGGCGGCCATGACTTGACGGGCCGACAGGGGGGAATAGTGTTTTTCCACGCGCCCATTTGCTGGGAATTGGATGACCAAAACACTAGTTGGATTGCTGGTCTCTATAGTTGCTTGGCAGTTACCCATCTCATGGGCACGAATTGAATCAGCTGCCTGGCCTGGTCTGGATTTCCTTTCTTCTTCTTCTTCTAGCTCGATCTTATCCTGCCTATATGGGTGAATCAATCTTCTTTCTGCGTTGATAATTCAATGGCATATCCCTTGTTGAAAATGCAAGAAGGTACAACGTACTAGACCACTTATATAAACTCTATGTTCCCTCACGTCATGATTGAATACAAAGGTACATAAAAAGTTAATAGTCAATTATTGGTGTAAAAATTATAGTTGGTGTTATTAGAACAATTCAATAATTTAAAGTCAAATGCTTTAGTACTGTTTAAATTTGGTTTTTCTTTAAAATTTGGTCAACTTTAAATGGCACTTGGATTAATAAGTAAAAATTATGTTATTGAGGTTTATGTATAGAAGAGAGCA